GTCGCCGTTTGTTGCTCCAGCTGTCCTCCCCCTTCCCTTTCCCCCGTCCTCCTCCTCCTCCTCCTCCTCCTCCTCCTCCTCCGCCGCGTCCTCCTTCTCCTTCTCCTCGCTCCTCCGTAGTCGTTTTGCCTGCCAGAGCCGCCCCGCTTGCTCCGCGCGGCTGCGCGGCGCGCCATAGAGGAGACACTTTTTGACGGCACTGCCCTTTTCCCCTTCTCCTTCCGCTCTCCTTCTTCGCTTCTCCCCCGCTTCCTGCCTCGTGCGGCGCTTGTGCCGGGGCGCCTAACGGTGGGGGTCGGTGGCGCAGGCCCCGCGGCCGCTCATCCGCTCCCTCCGCCTCCTGGTTCCTCCCGGCCCCCCGCCGTCCCCTGCCCCCCCTCTCTCCCCTGCCCCTTGCGCGCCGGCTGGCCGGCAAAGAGAGCGCCGGCAGCCTTCGGCTGGCGTCGAAGCCCGGGGCCTGCTCCAAGACGAGGCTGGCCCGAGGTGCACTGAACCTTGGATGGCCCCCTCTGGGCGGCCCCCAAAGAGCCAGTGGGGGCGCCGTCCCTGCGACAGGCCGAGAAGAAGGAGGAAGAGGAGGAGAAGGAGGAAGAGGAGGAGAAGGAGGAGGAGGAGGAGGAGGAGGAGGAGGAGGAGGAGGAGGAGGAGGGGGGGAGGAGAAGGAACAGGAGGAGGAGGAAGGGGAGGAGGAGGAGCAGGAGGAGGAGGAGGAGGAGGACCAGTGTAAACCCAAGAGTCATCAACGATGCTGGAATAAAATCTCCCTCCACGCTCCTTCTTCATAGGCCCCATTACAAGGGCTCATCTCTGCTGAGGGACCTGCTTCGTTGGGAGACAGCCAACCGTGTGAAAACCCGGATGCATGTCAAATTATCGTTTCCGTGAGTCCAAAGCCACGGATCAAATTGATTGCTGCATTGCGACGATCCTGAATCGCACCAGGACGCCATTCTTGGGCTTCGTCGCCGCGAGTCAACGTAACTGTTGCGCCCTCATAATCCTGAGTCTTTCCAAATCACCATTTCTGGAAGCCAATGTAGGCGGCGCTAAGGCGAGAGCCACATTTCGAGAAGGAACCGCCTTCAACCCGTGAAACTCTAGCAAATGGCGCTAAGGCGAGAGCCACGTTTTGAGATCGACCGGCGTGAAATTCATGCAAATGTTAAAAGCGAGTGTGCGCGGCGCTAAGGCGAGAGCCACATTTTGAAAAAGACCCGCAGTCCACTTGTGAAGCTCGTGCAAATGTTCAAATCGAGTGTGCGCGGCGGTAAGGCGAGAGCCACATGTTGAAAAAGACCCGCCCTCAATCCGTGAAGCTCGTGCAAATTTTTAAAACGAATGCGCGCGGCGGTAAAAGCGAAACCCACATTGTTAAATGCCTTCCATGTGTGAACTTGTTGTCAATGTTTGAACTTCAGGGTCAGAAGTGGTGAAGAAGTCTTAGGCGAAACGCACGGACCGCCCTAAAAACTGGCCTCGGGGTGCGACAGGGAGAAGTTATTTCTGACGCAGAGGAATGGAGGAGGAGGAGGAGGAGGAGGAGGAGGAGGAGGAGGAGGAGGAGGAGGAGGAGGAGGAGGAGGAGGAGGAATAACAATAAAAGAGAGGAGGAGGAAAAGGATGAGGAGGAGGAGGAAGAGGAGGAAAACGAGGACTCTGGCAGCTATCGTGGCGTTTTCTTGAGGTCCTCTTCGGGTGCTCTTGATGCTTTCTCGGGGGCCCTCTTCGGGCCCTCTTGGGGATATGTTGCAGGGTCTTGGGGTCCTCTTGGGGCTCTTTTGGTGGGTATTGGGGACCTTTCGGGGCTTTCTTCGGGGCATCTTGGGAGCCCTGGAGGCCTTATGGGGCCATCTTGGAGGGCGTTGATCAAAAGAAGGGGTTCCCTGATTCAGGTCCTCCCTTAAGAGCCCTCTAGAGCGCTCTTGGGCGCTCTTGCGGCCGTCCTGGGGGTTTCTTACGGCCCTCTCGGGGCTTTCTTGGCCTATCTCAGGCCCATATTGAGGCGCCATTTCCAACGTAAGCGAAAAGGCGAGACTGCGAACATCATTTTTTTTGTGTTGTTGTTTTGTTTTCCTTCTTTATCCTCCTGACAGACTTTAACGCCATCGGAAGGTTTGTTGGGGGCTCCAACATCACTCGGAATCGTCTTGTGGCTTTCGTGGGGCCTGTTGGAGGTTCTCCTCCTCCTCCTCCTCCTCCTGCCCCACCCGGATCCCCTTCGGGGAGCACCCGTTGAACTTGGAACGGTACAAAGAAGGTTTGCGTGGCCTTAGCACAAGGATGACATGCGCAAATCGAGAAGTTTATATACACTGCGTTCTCGGTGACGCTGTGCCTCATCCTACCCCACCCTCGCGCGGCCGCTGCCTTCCAAAACAACAAGCTCGGCCCGGGTGTTTTGGAGGGCGCATCGACCGCCTGCGCAACGCCTTGGCGGTATGAGGAGGGGGTTCGGGTCCCTGCCAGGCGAGCTGTCCCGCCGGCCCCACAAGGTTCCCAGACCCCCTCGGGTAATGAGCAAATCACGAGGGGAGTTTTTTCTGTATTTTTGGATTCTTGGGGCCCCGACCGGGCCTCGGGACCGTCCAAGACGATACAGGATGAAAGACAGGACCCGGGGAATGGGTCGATACCTCTGGGGGTCGACGTCATGAAAAGTCATGACGTCGGGGGTCAGGGCTTGGCCTGCGCCCCAGGACGCCCAGCAGAACTCTCGACCCTTTGCCCAGGAGCCAGTCTTTGTCCCGAGTCGTTCCCTCACGGCTCGGGGGCCCGGCGAGGGCCCACGGAGGCCCAAAGAACGGCCCCAAACCGCCCGTCGTGTTCTTTCCACGGCCCGACCACGTCTGGGGTGCCAGCCGCTGCGGGTTGGGTTCGCCCCCCCCCCCCCCGGCCTTGAGGCCCCGCCGACCTCCTCAGCCGCCGCTCCCCGACGGCGCCTTGTCAGCTCGCAGGCCCCCGCCGGCCCCGGGCCGCCGCTCGCTCGGATGCGCCGCCCTCCAGGCTGCGCCGGGGCGCCGGGGGGTTCTCTCGCTCCGCACCGCGGCCCGCTCGGGCCGCTCCTGCTCACGCGGCACGTCTGCGAGGGCGCGCCGCAGGTGCCTTCGCGGCCCCCCCCCTGGTGCACCCGAGAGGCGCCCTGCGCACTCGAGGGCGGCTTGCCGCGCGTGCTGCCCGCGCTCCGGCGGAGCTCGCCCGCGCGCCAGCGTGTTGCCTCCTCCTCCTCCTCCTCCTCCTCCTCCTCCTCCTCCTCCTCCTCTTCCTCCTCCTCCTCCTCCTCCTCCTCCTCCTCCTCCTCCTCCTCCTCCTCCTCCTCCTCCTCTTCCTCCGCCCCCGCAAGGGGCGGAGGCCAGCGGCGGGCGGGAGTCCTTCTTGGGGGCTCCTCGCCTGCCGCCATCGCTGGCCGGCAGGGCCCCGCCGGCCAGAGCGGGCCGCCCGCCGCGGGCGCTCCTCCTCGCGCCGCTGCGCCGCGCGGCGGCCGCCGCTTCGAAGGCTGCCGCGCGGCGGCGGCGGCCGGCCGGGCGGGGCGCCCCGCCCCTCGGTGGCGGCCCCCTCCCCGCCCCTCCCCTCGTCGGCAGTCGGCCACCGCAGCCTGTGCCCTTGGGGCGGCGGTGGTGCTCGTCGGCCCTCGCCTCCAGGTGGCGTGGGCGCTGGGCGCCGCGTGCGTGGCCGCGCGCCCGAACTGGCGGCGCAGAGCGCCCAGCGAAGACGGGCCACCTGGGCGTGTGAGCGGGGGCGTGAGCCGAGAGCGGAGCGGGACAGAGCGCATGCCTGTGGCGCATTCCTGTGATGCTCGTGGGCACCGGATCTGCCACCGAGCGCCTTTTACTACTCGCAGCGTGCCTGCTCGCAAGCACCCGCAAAACAGATGTTTGCCTCGATGCAGTGGAGCCTGCTTGCCTCGATGCAGTGGATTGCAGGCCATCGGCGAGGAGCTGCCTTGCGAGAAGTGGAGCGCGCTTGCCTAATCTGGGCTCCGAGTCCGCCGACCCTCGGGCGGAAGTCTTCGTCGGCGCTCGCCGCCAGTGGCGTGGCGTTGGCCGCCGCGCGGCCGCCGCTCGCGCCGCCCGCGCGGGTTTTCGCGCTCCGGGCCGGCGGTGCCGCGTGCCCGAGCGTGCACGGAATGGCGGGCGCCGAGAGCAGAGCGGGGCCGTGGTCGTGGGCATGCAGAGAAGCTATCCAAGTGTAGCTTGTAGCTGTCCTCGGGCCATTTTGGCCCCTCTTGGGGTGCCACTGGGCGCCTGGGCGAGGCTTCTGAGGCCATTCTGGCCGTCTTGGCTACCCTGTCGCTGTGAACAGTTTTCCAGCGCCGTCCTAGGCTGTCTTGGAGCCGTCTCGCTCGGAGATCGCTGGGACAATCCTGGGCTGTGCTGGGTGCCGTCCTGGGCCTGGAAGGGGCACAGGGGGCATCCTTTGGATTCTGGGTGGCGGAATGCGGGGAATCTTTCACGGGGATCTACACCTTAGGCGATGCTTAAGAAAACTTAAGTTTTCGGCCAGAATCTCGATTATTCTTAACGTTTCAATGTAAATCTTAAGATTTGAATGGAAATGTTGGGTTTTGTATACAAGTTCTGAGACTTTGAATTTCTTAACCCATGATTTCTTAAGCATTTCGCAGGGTGTAGTTTAGTTTGGGCTCTGGATATGGAGCTCTGCACGCCCTCGGCCTAGGCAGACGGACCAAAAAGGCCCTCGCCACTCCGACGCTCGTGATGCGCTATATATTCGGGAAGATGCCTTTGGTCGCTGCAGGGGCGGGAATGGTGGAGGGAAGGACGGAGACAGGCAGTGCGGAAGCTCAGGAGCAGGAAGACGAGGAGGACGCGGTGGGCGACATGTTTGTTGATCTGGTTGTCGGCAGCCTGTTTGGAAGACTTGCAGACTGGATGCGTTGTGGCTCAAGGGTCTTCGGTGCTCTCTCTCTAAGGATTCCGTAAGCCACAAGCTACATTAACTTACTCTGTACTCTGAGGCGTATCGCCATCCATCTATATATCATGCATTACGTCGGCTACGTCGTGGTAGCACATGCTATGCTTGTCAGCGTCCAGGCTGCGCACGTAAACGCTGACGAGCTCGGTGAATCGGAGTTGAACTGGCCCGGCTGGCTAACGGGCCGGGGCAAGCAAGGTGAAAAGAAAACTGTTTCAGCAGAGCAATCGTTAAAGTTGGGGGGCAAGCGTGAGGTGAATAGTACGATTCCAGCAGGCACCACCTTCACCAACATGACCGGCATTATGCAAGCCCGTACAGGTGGGAAGGCGTCCTGCTATTCGGGGTACGTAAGCACTTGTGGGAGTGGCGCAACTTACTGGGAATGTGGCCGCAAGTGTGCGGGTGGGATGTATTGGACTGATGCGGGGTGCGGTTGTTGCTGCCAAAGTCCGACGCCACTACCAGCGACTCCTCAAACGAACGCTTCTGCAGCTGCCCCCGGGCAGTTGTGGAAAGGAAGCAGCGCAGTTAGCGATCGCCAGGAGTCAGCACAGATGTCATGGTCCTGCACCGCGATCAGTGCGAGCAGCTTCACCATGCAGTACGATTCTTACATCTCGGGCACCAGTATTGTACTGACCAACAATGCGGGCAGCCAGCGCGGGCGGGCCTTCTACACGTGGGCAAACTCGGGGGGGTTCAAGATCAACTTCGATATGTGGATGGGTCTTGGGTCAGGTGCAGATGGCATGGTACAGTATTGTCCCCTGCAGGTGATATGATATTGTCGCGGGGAGTGGTATTTTTTCGTTTTCGCCCGTCTGGGGCCTTCCAGGACCTGGTCCTCCAGCCACACGGGCTTCGTAAGTATGGCTTCATGTCGGACCTGTCCCTCCACAGGGGGCATACTCAAAAATAGTAGAGCACTAGTCTGGGGACGATTCTGTTTTGTGTTTTTGTTGTGTGACTGTTTTGGAGTGTTTTCTGAGCATCTTTCTCACATTTTTCGCCCCAGAATTCCCCCTGTAGGGGAGCAGGCCCGACCTGAGGATGTACAGCTGGCCCTGCGCGAACCGCCAGCCGAGGAGGCCCGGTTCTCCGCCCGCACGGGCCTGGCTCAGCGCCTGCCCGGGGTCGTCCAGGACCTGGTCCTCTAGCCTTAGGTCGGGCGTGTCCCTCTACAGGAGGAAGTTTCAAAAACACAGAAACAGGTCCTGGGGACGATTCTTCGACAATTTGCGTGTGTTTTTTTTGGGGGGGGGGGAGTATTTTTTTCATTTTTCGCCCAAAATCCGCCTATAGCGGGACGCCCCACGACCCCCCGCGACAATGCAATACCTTCCAGGGCGCAGTGCAGTACTCTGCACTGCAGGTGCCGACGGCATGTGCATGAAGTACGGCGGGTACGATGCCGGCGAGCAAGGCGAGAGCATCGCGGCCTCCGGCTTCTCCGTGTGCTTCGACTCCTATCCAAACGATGATGATCATGGCGTGGTGATGGGCTGGAATGGTGGAACCATCTTCTCACAGATCGGCTCGGCCCACTGGGGGCACGAAGTGCCGCTCTTTGAGGATGCCGCCTGGCACGATGTCATCGTGGAGGTCACGCCCAGCGGCAGCGGTGCGAATGTGATACTGAATTTTGACAATGGCTACTACTACAAAACCGCATGGATTAGCAGCTTTGCAACACCCGTTGGTAGCCAACAGCTGGCATTCACTGCAAGGACTGGTGGTTCAACCAACTGGCACTATGCCACGAATATCCAGGCGTGCAGCATTGCGACGCCCAGCCCGACGCCCAACCCAACGCCCAACCCGACGCCTAACCCGACGCCGTACCCGACGCCGTACCCGACACCGTTCCCGACGCCGTACCCGACGCCGTACCCGACACCGTACCCGACGGCCAACCCAACGCCCAACCCAACGCCGAACCCGACGCCGTACCCGACGCCGTACCCGACGCCGTACCCGACGCCGTACCCGACACCGTACCCGACGGCCTTCCCAACGGCGTACCCGACGGCTTTCCCGACGCCCTACCCGACAGCATTCCCGACGCCCTACCCGACGACATTCCCGACGCCCTACCCGACGGCCTTCCCGACGCCGTACCCGACGGCCTTCCCGACACCCTTTCCGACGCCAAGCCCGACACCCAGCCCGACATATCCTTTGGGTTGGCCGACGCCGCATCCCACGTTTCCGCCTGCAGCTCCCGCCGCGGGCGGAGCCGGGGGCGGAGCCGCGGCTGCCACTGGTGATCCACATTTGCAGAACATCCATGGTGAGCGGTTCGATCTGATGAAGCCCGGTAAGCACATTCTGATACAGATTCCACGCGGAGATGTTGAGAATGTATTGCTTCGTGTAGAGGCTGATGTACGTCGATTGGGTGGACACTGCGCAGACATGTATCCAGTTGTGCTGCCGCGCGTATCCGCCTTCTTCGGAGATGCCGCTGGAGTGGTCAGCACCGTCGCGCGGTTGTAGCATTACATGCGTTGGTCGTGTGTGCCAGAAGGTATGTTGGAAGCTGCGAAGGGGATCGGCTACATGTATCTGCGGAGGCAAGCCGCCTCGCTAGTTTCGCTTGTTGGTATAGTCCTTGTTTTCTCTGGACACCCCCGCGCAGGAACCTGCTCCTCACCCTTCTCTCCTCTTCTGTTCTTTCTGCACTCGACATCCTCCTCATCATCACCATCAACTTCCGCATCTCCACCGTTATTCTTCACCAGCATCAGCATCTTTATCATCCTCATCATCGTCACCATCACAATCATCATTCCCATCATCATCATCATCATGATCATCATCATCATCACCGCAACCATCAACATCATTAGCATCATTATCATCATCATCACGATCATCATCACCATCATCACTATCATCACCATCATCACCATCATAATCACAATCATCATCATTAGCATCATTACCATCATCATCATCATCATCATCATCAACATAATCATCATCAACATGAACATCAGCATCATCATCATCGTCACCACCATCATCGTTATCAGTATCACACTCACTATCATCATCATCATTCTGATCATTATCATCTTCATCCTCATCATCATTAACACCATCATTGCCATCATCAGCATCACCAGCATCATTATCGTCAACACCATCATCATCATGATCACCATCATGATCAGCATCATCATCATGACCACCATCGTGATCATCATCATCATGATCCTCAGTATCATCATCATCATCATTATCACCATCATCATCGTCATCACCACCATCATTACCATCATCATCATCACCACCACCATCATCATCAGCCTCAGCATTATCATTATCATTCTCATTATCATTCTCATTCTCATTCTCATTCTCATTACCATTTTCATTATCATTATCCCTATCGCTATCATTGGCAATCTCATTATCCTTATCATTATCTTTATCATTATCATTGTCATTATCGTTACCATTACCATTATCATCCGCATTATCATTATCAGTATCATTATCTTTATCATTATCATTATCATTCTTATTATTATTATTATCATTATCATTAGCATTATCTTTATGATTACCATTATCATTATCATTACCATTATCATCACCATTACCAGTATCATTCTCATTATCATTATCATTTCATGACCATTACCATTATCATTATCATTATCAGTATCAGTATCATCATCATTCTAATTACCAGTATCATTATCATTAGCATTGTCATTATCATCGTCATTATCATTATCATTAGCCTTATCATTAGCATTATCATTATCATTATCATCATCATTATCTTTAACATTGTCATTATCATTATCGTTATCGTTATCATTATCAGTATCATCATCATCATCATCATCATTATCATTATCATTATCATTACCATTGCCATTACCATTATCATTATCATTATCACTATCATTGTCATTATCAGTATCATTATCATTATCACTATCATTATCATTATCATTGTCATTGTCATTCTCATTAGCATTATCATTAGCATTAGCATTATCAACATCATTATCATTATCATTATCATTATCATTATCATTATCATTATCATTATCATTATCATTCTCCATCATTATCATTATCATTATCATTATCATTCTCGTTATCATTAGCATTAGCATTAGCATTAGCATTCGCATTAGCATTCGCATTAGCATTAGCATTAGCATTCGCATTAGCATTAGTATTAGCAGAATCATTAGCATTAGCATTAGCATTAGCATTAGCATTAGCATTAGCATTAGCATTAGCATTGGCATTGGCATTAGCATTAGCATTAGCATTACCATTCTCATTATCATTATCATTATCATCACCATCACCATCACCATCACCATCACCATCACCATCACAATCACCATCACCATCACCATCACCATCACCATCACCATCACCATCACCATCACCATCATCTTGGCTTAAGCCATTCGGGCTCGGGGGGGGGTGGTCGGGCTCTGGCCCTCTTCGCGTCCTCAACCTCCCTCGCTCCCTCCCTCCAGGCGGGCCTCATAGCCCTGGCGCGCTGGCGTGCCCGCGGGGCCAGGCTGACAGCGCTGGCGGGAGCTGGCGCTGCGGGCGGGGGGATCCCCTGGGCATTGTGGGCCGTCCAGGCGGCCCGCGACCCCGAGGTCCATGAGCTCGCGCACCTGTTCGCCGAAGCCGCGGCACAAGCCGGGGCAGCAGCGGCCTCAGCGGCCAAGGCATGGGTCGAGGAGGGCCTTGCAGCGTACAGCGACAGCGATGTGGACCAGTGCTGCGTCGACGAGCGGATGGGCTACGCCCTTGCACTCATGTGCACCGCCGCCGCCAGCTGCGCCGTTGCGTGCTGCTGCTGCGGCCAGGTGGGCTTCCTCGGCGGCTGCGCCTGGGCGTACCAGTGGTTCGCCCACGGCGCGCCCAACGACCAACCCGCCCAGCCTGCCGAGGTCGCAGGAGCGGTCTGCCAGACCCCCAAGACCCCTCTCCAGCAGCGCCTGGCCACGTACGCCGCCGTCATCGAGGCGGGAAGGGACGCAGCCCCTCCTCCTCCTCCTCCTCCTCCTCCTCCTCCTCCTCCATCTGTGCATTGCGGCTTTAATTTGCATGCAGCGTGTCCCCTGTTGCCAATCCGCTGGGGCAGTCGCCCTCTGCCCAGCCGCCAACGCAAAGTGTGTGTGTGTGTGTGTGTGTGTGTGTGTGTGTGTGTGTGTGTGTGTGTGTGTGTGTGTTTGTGTGTGTGTGTGTGCGTGTGAGAGAGATAGTATGGCCTTCCGACTGGGTGAGCAGGTCTAGCAACGTTGAGGTAGATGCAGCGTAGCAGTGTTGTGTCGTTATAACCTCTGCTTTTGCCTGGAAGCGCTGCGTTTGACTTGCCAGACGCCTGCGGGCTTTCGTCTCAAGTGTTGTTTGCCCCCATGGCATAGGCTCCAATCATATTTTCAAGAGGAGGAGAAACAGGGGGGGCGCGCGCGCCCGGGCCCGCCCCCGCCGCGCAGGGCGAACGGGCGGCGCCTGAGCGCGGTGTGAGGAGGCCATGTCGGGCTCGGTGCCCGCGATGAAGAGCCAGGCCACCGACGTCAAGACCTACGAGTCTTGCACCGAGTACTCGGGACATGCCCGCGAGCATCGCGTGGACTCGAGACTTGGCGGCGAGGCGCCGCGTGGATTTCGTGGGCCGGACGGGCCGACTCATTGTGAAGAATTGCATCGCGATTGCCATTCCGAGCCATTGCCCGCGCGAGGGCCAGCAATGGAGGTGCCGTCGCCAATAGCGCATGCGCCGCTGGCGCCGCGAGCAATGGGGCAAGTGGCGCGTCTGGTATTCCATGGGCGGCGACCAATTCCGCGAGGGGCATTTCATGCAGGAGCTGGGATTGCTCATGTCTCATGCTTGAACAGCGGTGCGCCCGAGTTCATCCCTGCCGGGGTCGTCCCCGGAGGCGTGCAAGGACCGCCGGGCTGCTGGCTTGCGAGGCCGCCCATGTGTCTGACCATGCGTGAGGCACTTTCGGGACGGCGGGCTTCGCCCCAAACGAGGCCGCAGGCTGCGACCGCGAGACCGACCGCGAGCCCCACCGCGAGGTTGATTACGCTGATTGGCGAGCTCAAAACGTGCGCGACGGAGGGCCTGCCCCCCCGTAAGCGGGGCGCCGCCTGCGACGGCGGCGGCGGGATCAGCCGCGCCGCCCGCGCGGGCGGGCTGCCTCGGCAGGGCTCCTCGGGCGGCTCCGGCGCGGCCCGCCTCGTGGTCGCGCGCCCGCCCGCCGAGGTTTGCGCGGCGAGCCGCGGGCTCAGCGGGGCCTCGGGAGGCGGTTCGGGCACGGCCATGGTCGCCGCCCTCGCCGTCGGCGGGCAGCCCGCGCGCGGCCGCCAGCAGTGGATGGAGGGGGCCCCACGCCGACTGCGCGCCTTGCGCCCCGAACTTGTCAAGTTTTGCATTCTTGGCTCATTTAGTCCTTTCCATTTCATCTGTGTGTTTCATACCCTTGTCACTCCCCTCGTAATCTGAGCCAGATCCCGTGGCCCTCGGCGCCGCGCGCGTCTCTGCTAGCACGGCTGTCCTCCCGGGGGGGTGGTCCGGGGCACGGCGCTTCCCTGGCAGCAGGCGGGTCCACCTTAGACAATGGCCTAAGATGGATGCATAAATGCGAAGATAGTGATGGATCGGACTTCCCCACCATTTTCCCAACCAGACTTGCCATGCCCTCCAAAATCCTTCCTCTCTCGAGATTCGCACCGACTTCCCATTTTTTCGCTGCCCCCGCCCCCGCCCCTCAGCGACGCTATGCGGCTGCAGAGGAGGAGGGTCGGGAAAACAATCCGGCGCCCCGCGTACTGCAGCCCAGTGCCGCTCGTGGCACGGGCGGCGGGGGGAGGGAAATGGGGAGTGAGAGAATGGGGGCTGAGGACGACGATTGCGGGTGGTGCAGTGCAAGGGCGACTACTATATATAAATATATGTTTGTATGTATATATATATATATTCACATTAATATATATATATATATATATATCTGCATGTATGTATGTATATGTATATGTAGATGTATATGCATATGTATATGCATGTATAGGTATATGTATGTGTATGTGTATGTGTATGTGCATATATGTATGTATGTATGCATGCATGTATGCATGCATGCATGCATGTAGGTGTGTCTATATATGTATGTATATATTTTTATATATATATATATGTGTATGACTGGATGTGTGTATGTATGTAGGTATGTATGTATGCATGTATGTATGCATGTACGTATGCATGTATGCATGTATGCATGTCTGTACATATGCATGTATGCATGTATGTATGCACGTATGCATGCATGCATGCACGCACGCACGCATGTATGTATGTATGTGTGTATGTGTGTCTGTAGTTATGTATGTATGAATGTATATATATATGTGTATGCCTGCCTGTCTGTCTGTCTGTATGTATGTATGTATATATATATATATGTGTATGTATGTGTATATAGGTATCGCTGTCTGTCTGTCTGTCTGCCTGTCTGTATGTCTGTCTGTCTGCCTGTCTGTCTGTCTGTTTGTTTGTATGTATGTACGTATGTATGCATGCATGCATGCATGCATGCATGTAGGTATGTGTATATATACATATATATACATACATACATACAAACATACATACATACATACATATATATAAATACATGTATATGTATGCATGTATACATATCTATATCTATATATATATATATATATATATATATATATATATATATATATAAGCAGAGGGCCGCCACTGCCGCCGAAGTCCCCTTGGAAACTCTCGCCTTCGGGGGTGTTCCTGGGGGGGGGGGGGGACGTCGGCGGTGTTGGCGGCCCTCGCCCGCCCTCCTCCGTCGTGCCTGCTGCTCCCCCCTGGCTCCTCCTCCCCTCTCTCGCTGCTCCTTCCTTCTCTCCTTTTTTTTGTGTGTGTGTGTGTGTTTTCTCTCTCTCTCTCTCTCTCTCTCTCTCTCCCTTTCCCTCGCTCTCTCCTTCTCTCCTGTCGCTCCTCTTCGAGTCGCCCCTCCGTCGGCTTAGGGGATCCCTCCCCCCTTTTGGCGGTGGCGTTGCCCGCTTTTGCACCCCTCCTCCGCCCCGCCAGCGACGGTCAGCCGCTGGGAAGCGGTGGGGTGGGGTCGAGGGCCCCAGGTCGTCTTGAACACAACGGCGCGCAGTCTCGAGCCTCCAGGGGCAGGAGAGTCGGAGGTGGATAGACCTCCTGCCCTGACACGTCGATGAGGGAATTGGCAGTTTTCGGTTCGCGAGAGGGCGTCGCGGCCGTCATTTTTGCGGGTCCAGGTCCGTCGGTTTCGGTCCTAGGCCGTTTTCACTAAGGGGAGGTTTGCTAAAGGGAGGTTTGTCCACCGCCGAGAGAAGGAAGCGAGGGACAGACTGAAAACAAGGAGGGCAAGACCTCTTGTGCGATTCGGACTCGCTTTGGGCCTTCTGCGAGCCTCCTGTGGGCCTCCTGGGAGCGTCTTGGGGGCGCCTTTGGGCCTCTTTTGGTCGCCTCTTGGGGCTCCCTGGGTCGTCTCAGGAGGTTCTCGGCCCGTCCGACGCCTTCGGAAGCCGTCTTGGGGGCCTCTCTGGGCCGTTTTGGTGCCCTTCTGGAGGGGTACTCGGCGATTTTGGATTCGTCTTTGGCAGTCTGTGGCTTTCTCTGGGGGCCTCATAGGCTGCCTTGGAGCCGTATCGGGGGCCCCGTCGGGCCCTTTCTCGGGTGGTCGGAAATTTACACGGTGAGCGTTTCATAACATGTGATGCACATCAGGGCAACACACGTTTTTCGCTTCCTCGGATTCTCCTGGAGGGCCTCTTGGGGCTTTCTTGGGCGGTCTTGGAAGCCTTTCGAGCCGTCGTCAGTCCGTTTTTGGGAGCCTCTTATGTTGTCGTGGCCCATGTTTGGCCGTCCTGGTGTCATCTTGTCTGTTTCGGAAGCCGTCATTGGAGCCTCTGGGGCCAAACAGAGCGCCAAAGAGCAAATTCAAAGGGGGGCATTGTTTGAGGGACGTGTGCAGCGAGGGGGGGGTCGGCCCCAGAAAGAGCTAGAACCCTTTCAAGCCAACAGACGGACATTCTATCGTGCCCACTCCGTGCAGGCGCGGTGGCGGATTTCCCTGTTGAGCGCAAAATCAACGGGGTGCAGTCAAGGTGTGGCAGTTTGTAAGCCACCATATTTGCCGCAAGCCATGAGTTGCATGCTATTCGGTGCAACGGGTGTGGTGCAATCGGTGTGTTGCAATCGACGTGGTGCAATCTACCTGGCGCATCTTTTGTGGTGCAGCATGAGTGGTGGAATTTATGGGTTGCAAGCCGTGTGTTGCAGTCTAAGCGATGCGGGCTGTGTGGTGCGATCTATGTGGGCCAGCGGAACCGCCAGCCAGCGCATGGTGCGCCCACGAGGAGCCCACGAACGGCCACTGGGCGAAAACCTGGCAGCGTTTACAAGCGCACGGGCCCCCCGCGAGGCGCCCACTGGCATTTACTCAGCGAGAGCCTGGAAGCTCCAGTTAAAAGAAAGACCACCTAGAGCGAACAGTGTTTTGGGAATGATAAGACGTGCGAGGGCATGCGTCCCAAGGGCGCCACCCATTGTTTCGCAAGGAACGCTTGAGTAAATGTTGAATGCCTGACATATGTGCACGTGCTTGGAAGCGCGGTGGCGGATTTCCAAGAACTGAACGTCAGCGGGGTGTGGGCGGATGCGAAACATGCAGGTGGTCTCAGCTTCCAAGCGAAAAGTGAGAATCCCGAGATGCAGAAATGGGTAAAACTGGGGAAGGTCGAACTGAAAGTTGTCCCCGGGCACACAAAGCAGGGTACTCAATATTTGAACTTCTACGTCAAGCACCTTGGGCGTACTGGGTTTGCAGTCGGGGGCTTGCTCGGAGAGGATGACCACAAGGAGGCTTCAATGCCTACGGAGGCATGCCTTCACCAAGTTTCTCTTCTTGAGCACCATGAAACTAGTCAAACGAATGAGGGAACATCTCGCGTCGACCTCATCAAGAAGTTCCTCCACATCAAGCATGGCGGGGCATCCGACCTTTCGGTTGCAGAGGCAAGCCTCGCATGACGACGTGTAAATGGAGCTCTGGTACATGGAGTGATCCAAGTTTTAACATAGCGTGTGCAGGACTGTCTGTAGGCCTCGCCCAGCAGCTCAAACTGTCTGCAGTTCGCATGGAGTGTGTGTGCCACTGTTTGTGCTATTGGCATCGATCATGGTATGTTCCAGGGACAAACAACTTACTGTGGTACCCAGATCATTCCCTTCCTCTTCCTCCTCCTCCTCCTCCTCTCCCGTCTCCCTCCCCCTGGTCCTCCTTCCCCTTTCCCCCTCCCCCGTCTCCCCCCATTCCCCTCAGTTCACGCCTTCACGCTGTCAGCCACGCAGTCTCCAGTACCGCGGTTATTCTGTTTGGGGGAGGTCGCAGGAAGAGTGGGACGGGTAAGAGTTGATGGACCAGCGCTGGTAGTTTTCTTCAGCTTTGGAAGGAGTTAGAGTGGGAGTCGGCAGGCGCTACTGCGGCAGGCGCCGCGCCTCGGATGCGTCCACGCCGCTTCTTCCTCGCTCCCCTAGAGGAGCTTGAACGCCAGCGCTGCTGCCCCTGGCACGGCGGCCGCTTCAGGATGCATGCGCGGTCTCGGTATTGGCTGTGGGGCACCGTGCTGCGCGTCACGATCACTAGTGTTCAGCGTGCACTCCTCCTCGCGCGCTGGGCGCGTGAGGCCTGCGCCTTGCCAGGTGCACCTGCGGCTGGTTGAGCGCCCCGCGCGTTTTGATTGCACCCAGCTCTGGGCGCGCTATGTGTTCAGGCAGCTCGAGCTGAAGATCCATATCAGTTCGGCTAGGACTCGGATGCCAAGGTCAACAGCTCAATAGAGCACATCTCAGCTTCACGCGGCAGGATGCATTCAAATTCGGCACGGCACAGCACAGCACAGCATTGACCCTGGCGCGGTACACAATCATCGATACATTAAGCATTGAAGTTGCCCGTCGCCCAGTCAGGCGTTTTGACAGCGCTTCCATGTCTCAAATGTTTATATCCCTTTCTGGGTTCGTGGGTCAATCATGTTGGATGGGGTGGCAGGTAGAGTAGACACAAATGCCTCTGGAGGTCTGCAGCGTCTTCGATGATGTACCACAGGCGCTGTCCAGAGCCCACATCCTCGCACTCTCGCAAAGGGGGAATCGCCGTCTGGGCCCAGACCACCGCTGTGCTAGCGAGGCCCCTCCCCGTGCCAGGACGCCTAGGCTTGGGCACTGTGGGGTCGAAAACCCAGTTGGTAATCGCGCTTCGTACAGACCAATCGGGGACAGCTGCATTCACCGCCTACGATAGTAGCTGCCACGATGCCCGTGCCCTCGCTCGTGAAGACACCCCAACGGACGGTGCGGCCGCCCAGAGGCATGCGGCCACGTGTGCCAGGGGAGCCGAGGCCCCTGCGCACCTGGTGCCTCCACGGTGCCCTCCCCGGGGACGCACTCTCGCTGACAGGCCAGGGCCCCCAGGGAGCCGCAGGAGGAGGAGGAGGAGGAGGAGGAGGAGGAGGAGGAGGAGGAGGAGGAGGAGGAGGAGGAGGAGGAGGAGGAGGATCGGAGTGCCCTGGAACGGCCTGATCTTGGCGGCCCGGGGAGGTGGCCTCCGTGGCGGGAGGCCTCTGGTTGGAGACGCTGCGTCTCCGCCTGGAGTCCCTGCCACCGCGCGCGCGGGAGGACGTCGGGCCCCTGGCGTGCGGGAGCGCGTGCCGCCGCGGCGGCAGCTCGGCCTCCAAGGCCCCGGCCACCTCGGAGGGCCGATGCTCCCGCCGAGCTGGAGCCGGAGGAGGGGTACGGGGACAGCCCCCAAGCTCAGGCGAGCGCAGACATGGATCAAGGGGGCGTGGATGAGCGACGGGTCCCGTTTCCGTGGGAAAGCGGCGGATTTCCGCCGCCGAACGAGGCGGCACCGGCCGCATTTTGGGGAGGGCACCTCCCCCGATCCATGGATTCGGCGAGCGCGCGCCAAATCCATGGATCGCTACTCCATGTTTGCGCGCCCCCGAAAGGGGCCAGCTCCAGGCTCTCGACGACGAGCCCGCGCGAGCGCCCCGCAGACCCCACCGGAGCAGACCCCCCTGGAGCCGCGAGGACCACCCGGCCCCACTCGAGCGCCTCGGGAGACCTCCGAGGCCCTCCGGCATCCTCGGAGGGCGGCCGCGCGACGCCCTCGGAGGTGCCCACAAGAGAACCAACCCGGACCGCCTCGCGATGTGAGCAAAATCACGGCGGAACGTCTTCTCGCGATTGGAGGGCCTCTGGAGGCCCTCGCCGGGCCACGGGAACTCGGATCGAGGAACGGGTCCCGGGGAAGGGTTCCAGACCTCTGGGTGTCGACGCTCCTCCTCCTCCTCCTCCTCCTCCTCCTCCTCCTCCTCCTCCTCCTCCTCCTCCGTCTCCTCCTCCCTCCGTAGCCATTTTGGCTCAAGATGTTTGTGCCCCGTGGCAGAGCACGGAGACCCCTGGTCCGGGGACTGCTAGGACCGCTGCTTTCCGCTTTCGCCGTGCCCTCGGCGTTGAGCATCTCCATATCCTTCGCTGCTGAGACGCAGCTTACATATTTCTCGCCACCAGCGTTTGCCCTGCGCACGATAGCATTGCGATGGGTGTGCCTGGTGTTGCCAACTCCGCCGACTCCTGGGCCGACTCCCCCGACAAGGGCAAGGGCAAGGACACAGCTGCTGCCGATCCCTGGGCCGCTGGAGCTCAGAAGCTTGCCGCATTCGACCTCCCCGCACACCAGCGCAAGGTGCTCACCGATCTCCTCCAGACCCAGGTCGACAAAGCCGCCGCCGCCGTCGAAGCCACCTCCAAGCAAGTTGCTGCTGCCGCTCAAGCTGAGTTCCTGGCCAACATCACGAAGATCACCGAACAGCTCAGCAACCGCCAGGAGTCTGCCGAGAGGGACATTACTGAACTCAAAGGCCGTGCTGACCGTGCTGAACGTCTCCAAGGAGAACTCAAGGCTAGTGTGGACGCCCTCCAACAAACACTTCGTCATGCCGAAGCTCTTCACCCAGCCATGGATTTGGACGCCTTGGGGGCCTGGGACCGCCCGCCGAATCCTGCAACTTTCTGGTGTGGGGCTGCCTCTGAATTCTCCATCGCCTCACTTACGGCTGCGCTCGCCTCCTGGTTCGAAGCTGCCGACGTGGACATCAACGCGCTCCGCATCAACTCGGAGGGCCCTGCGCGGAGGATTTCATTCACACTCACTGGCGGCAACTCGATTGCTCTCCCGCGGGCCCAAGCCCTTCATCGCGCACTTCGGCAAGGTCGTGAATGGCGTCGCTTCCAGGTGGAATCGGACTCTGGCCTCGCTGCCCTCTACGTCTCCGCGGACAAGTCGCCGCGCATGGTACGTCAAGAAGTTCAACTCAAAAAGCTCAACAAGCTCATCACCGACAAGTTCCCCATGCTCGAGACTCGGGTTCACCGCGCTGGAGGCTTCCTGTCCATCGACGGCGCTCCCATCGTCCAGGTCACAGCTGGCGCTACTCCCGATGCCCCCACTCAAATTCGCTGGTCTGACGCTGCTGCCCCCGCTGGCATCCCTATCACCGAGCACATGCCATTGGCTACCGCGCTGGCTGCCGCGTTCGCCAACCCACTGGAGGCAGTGCGGTGGCTTTAGCATACCTTGGACGCCGTGGTTCACGAAACCGCACGTGGACGGCCTCAACTTGGTATCATGGAATGCACAGGCGCTCAATGGCAGATCGGCATCAAGACGGGCCCTCAAGCGACAGCTGTTGCTCCGTTACATGCGGCAACGAGCGGTCATCGCCCGCCATCCAAGAGACGCGCGGCAACAGCATAGACATGGACCTCCTGGCCGCGAACTCCGTGCACAAGTACATCGCCTTCCACTCAGCGTGCGTGACTGACGGCCAGCCCTCGGAGACCGCATGCGGGGTCGCATTCTTGGTTCCCTTTGATCGAGCTGAACTCCAATTGCCTCCTGATCAACGGCCTCTACGTTCATTTCGCGCGATTGTCCCTGGTCGCATAGGTGAACTACGCGTTCAAGACGGGACAAGACAGCACGAGACAACAATCTTCAACATTCACAACTACGACCTCAGCGGATCTGACCGTCAGCACTTCAAAGCTGCGTGTCAAGCAGCTGCTCAACGCTCAGCACTCCACCCAGACAACCACGACTACTACATGATTGGCGACTTCAATATCGCCCAGACGCCGCCGAAGAGCCTGCTTCGCCCCGCCGCGGACTCCACCGCCGAGCGTTACCACTACCAGCCTGTCTTTTGGAAGAACATCTTCTCACAGATGATGGAAATCGCAGCGAAGGCCACCGCGCATCGATGCCCGGCCAACATGACGGAAGCGGCCATCGACAGGTGCTTCGCCTCGATCAACGCATCCAACATCCCGCGCATCGAGGCGCTTCTCGTTGCCGGTGGCCGACCGCTCGACCGAGAAGGGGAGCCCATCAGCGATCGCAAGATGCTACATCTACGGCTTCGACCTCGTCAGCCACGTCCAGTCAGCGAGCGCGGCATCCCTGCCTTCCTCTTCGAATCCACTACAAGTTCCACTACGATCGCCTTGTCGAGATGGCCGACCTCTCAGCTGACCCCATCTCAAACTTGAGGACAATGGAGCACACCATGAAGTTGGCGGCGCGCAAGACTCGCGACACTATCACCTCCGTCTCCGCCTCCGAGATCATGCCATTCGAGAGCCGAAATGAAGACCCGCAAATCATAGCTGAGGCACGCGCACTTACATTACGCAGTATTGCCAGGGCCGTCTGGTACCAGGACCTCGCACTTGCCCAGCGACTTCGGGAAGTCACCATGGCTGTGGCACAGCACATCGACATTAGTCACCACAAGATCTCGCTTGTCGACCGCATCGCATTCGAGACCGAGCACTCCGCCATGCAGCTCCAGATCGCTGAACAACGACGTCGTGCCGCTGCTGCCCGCTCGCGAGCTGCTTACGCGGAACAACGACCCGACCTTGGTGAGCGATGGCGTCGTCAGGCTCGC